ATTTGTTGATGAAATGATATCTCCGACAAGATTCAAACACGATCTTTCACATTTATTTACATGTTACTGTGTTAGAGCGTATAACGATGGTCAAATTAGTTATCAATTAGATATAAGTAATCAATGCATATATATTAATGAACACTAGCGACGAATTGTAATTAATTATGTATTTAGTTAAATTTTATCGTTAATCCGTGACCCTAACGACAAATTATTTTCTATTTTTTTTAATTTGGAATATCACCAACTATATATTTTATTTTTAATTAAAATAAATTTCATCAGTTATCCTTTTTAACTCTTTTTTAAATTTAAGATATCATATATGAAATAATCAAAATAAATTTAATCTGTAATCTTTTCTAAATCTTTTTTTATTTGAAAAATCACTAACAAATTTTTTTTTATTAAAATAAATTTCTTGAATAATTTTTTGAAGTGTAAGTACTTTTTGGTATAATTGTTCCATTTTATAGATATAATTATTTTTTTGGTTCAAAAAATGTTTAGAAATTTCATCGTTTAAAATATTAAAGTTTATTGGCTCTTTTTCAGACTTTTTTTCATTATTTTACCATATTAACCAGTTTTATAGGTCATAAGAATATACATCTAACAAGTTTTAGAAAGTCCAAAGAGTTATTTAACAGGTTTTGGAATGTCCAATGACTTATTTATTCCAAAAAATTGTCCAATAACTTAATTATTTCAAATATTAAAGTTCATTAGGTTTTTTTTTAAACTTTTATCTTTTATATATATATATATAAAATTATTAACATTATATATGTATAATAGTTATTGATGATGAAAAAAAAAATACATGGGACCCATAAAAAAATAGTTCTTGTAAAAATTACTATTTGTGTAAGTTTTTAACTTGATGAGTTGAAAATGAGGTGGTAACAAAATAAGAGGTTCTTATAAGAACCTTTATTGGAGATGTTTATAAGCTAACTTATTTTTTGAGTATACGTTTGAATGGACATAAGCTAGCAGCATACAAGGTAGTTTATAAGTTAACTTATTGAAACGTTAGCTCAAATAACTTTTTTAGTAGTTTACTGACACTTTTTTCAATTATAGCTTCATTAATGTTAATTGTTATTTATTACTAATAACTATTTAAAAATCAATTAAATAGTATTAATTACTATTCTTTTCAAAATATTAATTAAATTTAAACCTAGATTAATCATTAGCACTTATTGGATTATTTACAATTGTTATTCAATATATTTAATCGTTAAAAACAAATATAACAATTTTGAAAATGTTTTTATAATTACATAAAAGTTATATATTTCTTTTGTTTTATAAATAATAAAGTCTTGATAAATATTTAGTAAAATATTTAATTTAATTATTATGTTTTGAGCAATTATTAGTTAATCAATTAATATATGTAGGGATGTACAAAAAACTGTCAATCCATGAAACCCGCCCAACCCAACCCGCTAACAACTCAATTAAACCCAACCCGTCCACCAGCTAAACCGTTAACCCGCCAATTAGGAGGGTTGAAATTGGCTCAACCCGCCCAACCCGTCGCTAATATATAATTTTTATTGATATTATATTTTGTTTCATTTTAACTAAACGTATAGGTTATCAAAAGAAATTCACGATCAAAGAATGATGAAAAATAATCTAATTAATAAGGAAAATTATTGATTTTTTTTGCAGCAACAACAAATTGATATGTTGGAAAATATGAATGATATTGATAGATTTGATGGACGAATCCATCAATTCATGACGCTTTTAACGAGTTATATTAGAAAAATGTCTTATCTAAAAGAGTTCCAATATGTTTATAGGATGGTTTTGGGCGTCTTAACAAATTCTATGATGCTTTTAAAATAAAGTGTCGTATTAGTTATTTTATACAACATGACTTGAAAAAGTGTCATATGAGCATAGGTATCCGATAAATAGATGAGTTTACGGGACAATTCTCAAAATGTTTCTATAAAATAACGAATACGACATTTTATTCAAAGATCATTCTAAAACACTTGTTGAAACATTTAAAAACGTCCTATAAACCTATTATATTATTTTTAGATAAGATGCTTTATAATATGGTCTATAAATTTAAGTTTTATGAATTATTTCATTCGTCAAATTATGAATCCACTAACCCACCAACCCGCCTCAACCCACAAGGGTTGGGTTGGGTTGGGTTATACTTTTGAATGAGTTGGGTTGGGTTGAGATTTTCCAAACCGCCATAATTGGGTTCGTTTGTAAAATTGTTGTAAACCGCCCAATCCAACCCGCGTTCACCCCTAAATATATGTAAGGTTGACCAACTTATTTTTATTTTTATTATTTGTAATGGTTATTTAAAATCATTATTTTTTTTATTAACCTGGATATCCAAACCGCTATGCGAGCCGACTAATCTCAGGGCGACCACCTGTTTTGCAGATAGTCTGGAGTCACCGCATTTAAATCTTCGTGGCCACAAGGGAATTTTTATTCCTCATTGGATTTGAACCTGAGACCTCCTGGTACTTTTGACCTTTGGAGCCAAGTTTAAACCAATCAGACACCATCCTTATGGTTTAAAATCATTATTTAATGTAAGTATTTTCTAAACTTCGTATTTGGTTATAGAAATCTAATTTTTTTAATATTATATATAATAGTAATAGTAATAATAATAATAATAATAATAAATCAAATTTAAATCTATTAATTAGCATATTTTATTATTTAACTTTTTTTACCATCTGATTTGTATTAATTAACATATTATATTATTAGTTAACTGTTTTAAATATACTATGAAATGTTGAAATCTATTCATTTTTAAACATGTCTTTTTTGCCAAACATATTTAGTCCACCAGCTAGCTTATCAGCCACTAGCTAGTTTATCATTCATCAGTTAGTTTATTAGTTATCAGTTAGTTTGTCTAACATAACCTTAGACAATAGCGTAGGATTTGGTACACCCATGTGACTGAATACGACAACATGAGTAGGACTGGGTTGGATAAGTTGTTTCTTAAATATTGTTTAATAATTTTATATATGAGTTCAGTAATATTAGAAGAGGAGTTGGTGACAGCGGTAGAAGTAGAGGTTGTGATGGTCGATGGTGACCATGGATGATGTAAAGATGATAGCAGCCTAAGGGTTTTAAAAGTAAGTATATGTAATCATGAACCTCTTGATAGGAGGGGTTTCCAATAATAAGTGGTCCTAAAGTCTGAAATCTATATGAATAAGAATGTTTGTTTTTATGTTTGAAGTCTGAAATCTGCATTGGTCAAACTAGTGCAAAAATATAAAAGATAAATAGTTTTTTTTTACAAAAGTATAAAAAATAAATAGTTTTTGCTAACAAATCTCTTACATCCCCCAAAATATGAACTATGTGATAAAGGACGGATTAGAAAACTAAGAGGTATTAAGGGATACATTTACCATTTAAAATTCCAGAGGACATTTAGTGCTTTTAAACTCTA